GCAATTCAATTTGAAATTCACTCAAAATTTAATTATATAAAAGATAAACAGAATTCTACATGGAAATTCAATGAAAAACACGCCAACTGGACAAATTTCTCCAAAAATCTCAAGTATCAAGAATTTATTAAATTAAAGAATGAGGCAGATATGGTGGAAAATTGCACGGATATTGATAAAGTTGTAAACAAACTCATGGATAACATAATAGAAGCAGCTTACATATCATTAAACGTAAAATCAAACAACTACGCATATGATGCAGGTATAAAATGGTGGAATAAAGAACTTGAACTAATGAAAACACATTTTCATTATGTAAGAAACTTATTTTATCACAGTAAGACTATCGATGCAACAAGATTTAAACAAGTCAGAAACAAATTTAATAATATGATAAAGAAAGCAAAGAGAAATAGTTTGAAAATTTTCATCGAAGAAAATGAATCAAAAGATCCTTTTGGTAACGCATATAAAATTTTCAAAAAGCTCAAATCCTCAAACAAGCAAAAAGGACTTCCCATAATAGATAACAATCAAGAATCAGAAAAAGAAAAACGCATTACAGACATAATAAATGTATTAATTGCAGATGACAGAATTGATCAAGACAACCAACAACAAGAATTGGTTAGAAGTTACGAACCTTTTCTAAGGAATTCAAGCGCTATCCATATTGATACCGAAGAAATAGAATATCTAATTGACAATACCAATGTTAAAAAGTCACCAGGTCAAGATAATATCAGTAATAACATGATAAAATACTCAAAGACTCTGATACTTCCTGTGCTACATTCGTTATTAAATAAATGTATTCAGATGGGATATTTTCCAAGGGAATGGAAAACGACAGTTTTAAAAATTCTAATGAAACCAAACAAATCTAACGTCGAATCAATAAAAAGCTATCGACCTATTTCGTTAACATCTAATCTGTCTAAGATCTACGAAAAAGTTATTAAAAAGAAAATTTATGAATATTATATGCAAAACAATTTATTAAGTCCCAAACAGCATGGATTCATCAAGTCAAAATCTACTATTACAGCCTTGAATAATATAATCGATATAATAATGGAACACAAAACCAAAGAACTGACAGCTCTGGTCACAATAGATATTGCGGGAGCCTTTGATAACGCATGGTGGCCTGCGATTTTAAAAATAATAGATGAAGATAATTTGCCGGAAAGTTTAATAAGGACTATTCAATCATATTTCAAATCGAGGAAAACGAAATTTACATATGAGAACTTAACAATAAATAAACAAATTACAAAGGGATGTCCGCAGGGTGGCCCGCTATCTCCACTACTATGGATAATATTACTAAACGATCTTTTGATCAAATATCAAGTTCCTAATAGTGAAGTGGTATGTTATGCGGATGATGTTTCAATTATATGCTGGCACAACAATTGCAAAGACCTGAAATTAGTTATAGAACAGGCATTAAATACGATTGATGTATGGTGTAAGAGTAACAAACTTGAAATAAGTCTAGAAAAAACTAATATACTTTATTTACATAACAAAGAAAAAATCCCAATCAAATTTAATAATGAAATAATCATACCAACTCTGAAGACCAAAATTTTAGGAATAATAATTGCAAATCACAGAAGAAGAAACAAAATAAATTTTACATACCACATAGAAGAAATAGTAAATCGTACAAAACGTTTTAAAAATTATCTCTTCTCAATTTGCGGGAAATCTTGGGGTCTAAGCACCCAGAAAAGGCTAACTTTATATAAATCCATTTTTAGACCAATACTTGCATATGGAGCCGAAATTTGGTTCAAATATTTAAATAAAAAATGTTTACAAAAATTAAATTCAACCCAATATCAAATACTGACATGGTGTATACAAGCCTATAAATCCACATCATATAGCTGTGTTCATAGTTTGGCCAACATTCCTCTGATCTCAGACTTTATCGAATCCAGAATCATGATATCTGATCTGAGAAACTTATCCACAGATGATCAACAAATTTATGACCCATTTATTCCAGGAATTATAGATACCTTTCTCAAATCAAGAATGAATGTTCTGAAAAACGAAGCAAATAATACTTTCTTAAGCTTTTTTCCCCAAGAAATCCCTAAATACTTTCGTCCAAATTTTTATAATACTCAATTTGTTACAAACCACGGAAATTTCAAAAGTTTTTTAAATAGAATAAAGGCAGTGGAGGATTCAAGTTGCTTTTGTGGTATGGAGGAACAAACCTCAAGACATCTACTGATCGACTGCCCAGCATTTCAAGATTATAGAATGAAGAATGAACTAGTTGTTTATGAATTAAACGATTTGATTTCCAATAAAAAATCATATCTAAAGTTCAATTCATTTTGTAAATACATTCTAAAATTTCTACAAAATCTGGATCTCTAATGTTTTTATTCGTTGAATAATGTAAATAACTCATGTAAATAGACTTTTCTCCTTGTTTGGCGCAAGTATCCCTTGCGGGATATAGCGCTTTGGAAATAAAATAATAATTGTAATTGTAATTGTAATGAAGAGTAAATATGATATAAAAAGCCAACAATGAAGAATGAATGTAAGATAAAAAGCCAACAATAAAGAGTAAATGTAATATAAAAAGCCAACAATGAAAAATAAATGTAAGATAAAAAGCCAACAATGAAGAGTAAACATAATATAAAAAGCCAAAAATGAAGAATGAATGTAAGATAAAAAGCCAACAATGAAGAGTAAATATGATATAAAAAGCCAACAATGAAGAATGAATGAAAGATAAAAAGCCAACAATGAAGAGTAAATGTAATATAAAAAGCCAACAATGAAGAATAAATGTAAGATAAAAAGCCAACAATGAAGAGTAAATCTACTTATATATTTGCCTTATTCTGTCTGTTTGTTTGTCTGAAGCTCATGGATGGGAATTTTCATAACCATCGGTGGTTCAGTGGTAGAATGCTCGCCTGCCACGCGGGCGGCCCGGGTTCGATTCCCGGCCGATGCATTTTTTTTTTTTTTTTACAATTTTTAAAACTCATTTATATATTATACAAGAATGACATCCACGGCGCCAATTTATAATTGTAACGAATAGTATTTGAATAAAAGCATTTAATCGGGTAAAACCCGGGTTATTATTATTATTATACATCAACATATATAGTCACGACCGTCATGGGCCGGCCGGCCGGCCGGTTCTGTCACGGATGCGCGCGCATCATCATTATGATCATTATCATTATCCAAATAATTTGGATTATAGATTAGAAGGTAATAAGACCAAATCTACTGATAAGGTACAATTTGGAATATTAGATTATAAACACAAGGTAATAAGACCAAATCTAATGATAGGCAAAATTTGGAATATAGATTAGATGCAGAAGGTAATAAGACCAAATCTAATGATAAGGTACAATTTGGATTATAGATTATAAACAGAAGGTAATAAGACCAAATCTAATGATAAGGCACAATTTGGAATATAGATTAGAAACAGAAGGTAATAAGACCAAATCTAATGATAAGGCACAATTTGGATTATAGATTAGAAGGTAATAAGACCTAATCTAATGATAAGGTGCAATTTGGATTATCTATATATCTACTTATATATTTGCCTTATTTTGTCTGTTTGTTTGTCTGAAGCTCACGGATGGGAATTTTCATAACCATCGGTGGTTCAGTGGTAGAATGCTCGCCTGCCACGCGGGCGGCCCGGGTTCGATTCCCGGCCAAGCATTTTTTTTTTTTTTACAAATTTTAAAACTCATTTATATATTATACAAGAATGACATCCACGGCGCCAATTTATAATTGTAACGAATAGTATTTGAATAAAAGCATTTAATCGGGTAAAACCCGGGTTATTATTATTATTATACATCAACATATATAGTCACGACCGTCATGGGCCGGCCGGCCGGTTCTGTCACGGATGCGCGCGCATCATCATTATGATCATTATCATTATCCAAATAATTTGGATTATAGATTAGAAGGTAATAAGACCAAATCTACTGATAAGGTACAATTTGGAATATTAGATTATAAACACAAGGTAATAAGACCAAATCTAATGATAGGCAAAATTTGGAATATAGATTAGATGCAGAAGGTAATAAGACCAAATCTAATGATAAGGTACAATTTGGATTATAGATTATAAACAGAAGGTAATAAGACCAAATCTAATGATAAGGCACAATTTGGAATATAGATTAGAAACAGAAGGTAATAAGACCAAATCTAATGATAAGGCACAATTTGGATTATAGATTAGAAGGTAATAAGACCTAATCTAATGATAAGGTGCAATTTGGATTATCTATATATCTACTTATATATTTGCCTTATTTTGTCTGAAGCTCACGGATGGGAATTTTCATAACCATCGGTGGTTCAGTGGTAGAATGCTCGCCTGCCACGCGGGCGGCCCGGGTTCGATTCCCGGCCAAGCATTTTTTTTTTTTTTTTACAAATTTTAAAACTCATTTATATATTATACAAGAATGACATCCACGGCGCCAATTTATAATTGTAACGAATAGTATTTGAATAAAGCATTTAATTGGGTAAAACCCGGGCGTTTGCCCGGGTCATTCGTATATCCCTATATATAGTCACGACCGTCATGGGCCGGTTCTGTCACGGATGCGCGCGCATAATCATTATGATCATTATCATCATCTAATGATAATAATAATTATTATAATAATAATTATTATTATTATATTATTATTATTATCCATATATAGTCACGACCGTCATGGGCCGGTTCTGTCACGGATGCGCGCGCACAGGGAGGTCACGTGCTCGCCGGCAGCCAACGGGCGCGCGCCGCCGGCATTACGTCATAGATTATAAACACAATGTAATAAGGCCAAATAAAAAAATAGTGTGTGATAAGGCACAATTTGGATTATCTACTTATATAATTGCCTTATTCTCTCTGTGTGAAGTTCACGGATAGATTTTGGTCAGAATGGATAAAATTAAAAAAGTGTCAAGGGATTGGGAATCGAACCCACGACCTTCCGCTTACCGGGCAGATGCCATGACCACTAGGCTACCCTGGACATATTTTTCCGTTCACATTTTTATTTTTATATTTTCAAGACACACACAGTTTGGGGCGGGACGTTTCACAAGAGAGACATCCACGGCGCCAATTTATAATTGTAACGAATAGTATTTTAATTAAAACATTTTTTAAATATATACGCACTCGGGTAAAACCCGGGCGTTGCCCGGGCCATTCGTCTAGTTTTTATATAAAAAGAAGATATAATATAAATGAGTTTTAAAAATTGTTTAAAAAAATGCATCGGCCGGGAATCGAACCCTGGCCGCCCGCGTGGCAGGCGAGCATTCTACCACTGAACCACCGATGCTTTAAAAAAATGGCCATATTTAGGTATTCATTCCATTCCGGATTAGTCCGCGTAAAAAAAAGTTCTTCAAATGAAAAAAAAGAAATAGCCAAAAATACTAATCAAAATGCAGCCGAAAATTTTCCTCAGGTTTATAAAAAGCGACATGCAAAATTTGGTACCAATTGGTTCAGTAGTTTTGAGTTTATCGCGAAACAGACAGACAGAAATTGACTTTTATATATATAGAGATAATAATAATTTTCCTACTCTGTAAACTTCCCTCGTTGCTTATCCTTTGTTTATTATTCATAGTTTGTTCTTGCCTGAAATAAATTGCTGTTTCATCCAGAAGTTGGTCTTCCTTAATTTTCCACGTGGCAATATCATTGGTTAAGGATGGGGAAAGAATCAATTATTTAAACAAATGATCTGGTAGTCAGTATAGTTAGCGCTTGAGTTCCCTATACAAGAATATTGATACCGATTTCAATAGAAATATTTGTATTGTTATGATACCTAGCCTGAAATATGGTTGACATGTAACACTCAAATTATTGTTTAATCTTTAGGATTTTTATTTTACATTCCTGACATGGATCAAACCAAGCGAGTGTAGAACTTGCGCCTAAACTTAATCTGAAATAAAACGCAACCTCCAAGGATAAGTTTCTTTTTTTATTAAAATTCTCTCAAGCTTTCGGGTACTGTGAACCCTTCTACAGGAACATTAAAACAAAATGAATCTAAATTTTTAAACTATTATTTATATCTTATAAATTATTTAAATATTTCAGAAGTGGTAAGAAAACTATTTAGCCTTTTAAAGTTTTCTCTTTGACTTGAGAGTTACAAATGATCCAACATGTGAATGCTGTCTAGATGTTGAAACACCAGAGCATCTTTTGTTGGCTTGCCTTCTGACTAACCAAATTGTACTTGCTTACTTTGACATAATGTCAAATCATCTTTCTGTATATACTCAATCTTATGAACACTTTGGCAAGTTTAGAGCAATTTGTACACAGATTTATAAATCTCTAATAATTCATCGTGTAAATAATTAAAGATATATATATATGTAAATAATTCTAATATAGCACAATAGTCTGATAGACTTCGTGCTTCTGTAATAATAAATATTAAAAAAAAATTAGCATAGAATTTGTTTATGGTGTAAACTTAATCTCCCGTATAACTCCTATACAAGATATCATCACTGATGATTATAGGAAAGAGAATCAAATTGTGTATAAAGTGAAATGCCATTATCCTCAGCAAAATTCAAAGAAAATTTCTACAACCACTAAACGAAAGATGAAAGTATATTAGGAGGGCTTGGTTCATCTGTGGTGAATCCTCCAGACGTTTTCGCCAATTTGATCTGTTAGATCACCGCAACTATAGTTTGTAAGTAGGAAAATTGGGTTCAGTATAGCTATTGCGATATACCTTTGTGCTCTCTATCTTGTAGAAATTATAAACAATCAAGCATCGAAAACATCTCATCTTAAATACAGACTCTAAATAAATTAAACTAAACAATAATTGTGCTCACCGTTGATGAGCCAATTGCTCTTAATATTTTACCTCCTGTGATATATGATGAATTATGTGTGATGTGAGTTGACAGAGCAGTGGATTGAAGGATTACACCAAGAAGAAGGAGCTTCAACGGCGGCACGTCCTAATCGTGAAAAGAAGGAGAGAGCCACACGGTCGCTACAGACATCAGCTCATGGCTCCGAGTTAAATGCAAACTGTGTCTAGACCAGGGGTCGGCAGCTTTTGAGTCGGAAGAGCCAAAATTGCAATTTACAAAATTTCAAAGTTTTTAAAGAGCCACGAATTTTTTTCTTACCAACAATAAATAGTACTCGCATGAATAATATTTACGTATGGAACTATATAAAGAGCCGCAGCTTCACATCCAAAGAGCCGCAGTTTGCCGACCCCAGGTTAACCTTCTGTTAAAACTGCCCTTCCAACTGCCCCCAGGCCCCCTCTTGTTCGGCTAAATTTGGACGCGGATCTCGACCCATTTGTCCGAGGGTCCTGTCAGAAAAAGATGCAGCATATGACAACTTATGCATCCAAAATAGATCTTTCTCTCTCTGTGGCCACGATTTTTTTTATTTTTTTTTATACTCAACCAAATACACAATTGGATGGCAAGTTAGAATACAAGGCGTATAATATGAAATATATATGCTAATGAAGATATTTTACTTTTTTTTAAATCATAAGATGTGTTGTGCTCAAATGTAATAATTAACTACCCCTAACATTTACCGACATGCGACGTTTAAATCTCATCGCGAACTTTTGAATTATGGCATTAATCAGACGAACTTCTTGAATGTATGTTTGTGTGACTGTGGCATTTGAAACCTCTATGTAATCGTCAAACCTTTATAAAATTCGCAAAATTATGGAAAGTATAATAAAGACATTTGTCATTTTTTAAATCATTATATATCGCATCTCTATTAACACATAATTTAAATCACTTTTCCAATTGTTCAAAGTTCGCACTCATTGGCGAGGTTGAACTTATGTAAATGACAAATGGACCACTGAAACATATGTTTACATTAGATATATAGATAACCCAGGTTCCTGGAGCGTAGAATGCCAACCCTACCCGACTTTAAATTCAGTTTAAACTCCGCCTTTGCCGGTCCCAAGCCCGGATGAAAAAGGAGGAGAGGGAGCAGTAACAAGCTAACTAAAAAAACCTGGGCTCAGCTGGCCCGGCTGATAGTACCCTGTAAGGACTCCTAATCCAGGGATACAGGATGAGCAGCGTTTGTACTCCATGTTAGGAGCAGCTGCACATGGCGTCTGTTCCTCATGTCAGAGGCGGCCATTTCTTTTGGAGCTAAGTCGGCCTGCCACTGAGTGCCTCCCAATCTTAATGACAAAGGCAGACGTATTTTACTTCACCCAATTATGATGGTTGTCAACTTTACAAGCTTGATACCTTAATATGATTGAGTGGAGATAAGAAAGAAGAAATTCAATAAATTTGTTTTAAAGTTTTTATAACAACTTTCAAGTAAAAAAAGATTGATTTACCAACAGAGTTCCTAATCAAATATAAGTAAATTGCGCGAAATACTTTTATAAAAATATCTAAAAACCTTACGCAATAAGTTTCTTTATTATAAAGACTTATTGCGTAAGGTTTTTAGATATTTTTTATAAAAGTTCCGATTCGTTTGAAGAAAATATATCCATTTACTTATCACACACATACAATTATTAACTGTATTATTTATTTAGTTAACCAACGAACTGCCCGTCATGCCATAGTCCTATAGGAGAGTTTCCGCATCAAGGACCACCGGGTCGAACTGCCCGTCATGCCATAGTCCTATAGGAGAGTCCCCGCATCAAGGACCACCGGGTCGAACTGCCCGTCATGCCATAGTCCTATAGGAGAGTTCCCGCATCAAGGACCACCGGGTCGAACTGCCCGTCATGCCATAGTCCTATAGGAGAGTTCCCGCATCAAGGACCACCGGGTCGAACTGCCCGTCATGCCATAGTCCTATAGGAGAGTTCCCGCATCAAGGACCACCGGGTCGAACTGCCCGTCATGCCATAGTCCTATAGGAGAGTTCCCGCATCAAGGACCACCGGGTCGAACTGCCCGTCATGCCATAGTCCTATAGGAGAGTTCCCGCATCAAGGACCACCGGGTCGAACTGCCCGTCATGCCATAGTCCTATAGGAGAGTTCCCGCATCAAGGACCACCGGGTCGAACTGCCCGTCATGCCATAGTCCTATAGGAGAGTTCCCGCATCAAGGACCACCGGGTCGAACTGCCCGTCATGCCATAGTCCTATAGGAGAGTTCCTACATCAAGGACTACTGGGTCGAACTGCCCGTCATGCCATAGTCCTATAGGAGAGTTCCCGCATCAAGGACCACCGGGTCGAACTGCCCTTCATGGGTTGAACTGCCCGTCATGCCATAGTCCTATAGGAGAGTTCCTACATCAAGGACTACTGGGTCGAACTGCCCGTCATGCCATAGTCCTATAGGAGAGTTCCCGCATCAAGGACCACCTGGTCGAACTGCCCGTCATGCCAGAGTCCTATAGGAGAGTTCCTGCATCAAGGACCACTGGGTCGAACTGCCCGTCATGCCATAGTCCTATAGGAGAGTTCCCGCATCAAGGACCATTGGGTCGAACTGCCCGTCATGCCAGAGTCCTATAGAAGGAAGGGTCCCCACACACCAAGGACCGCCGGGGCGGAACCGCCATTACTCCGGACTGCTTCTCCTCTCCCAGCCGGCGACTGCTGTAATTGAGACGAATGGCTCGGCACTTCCGGGCGCTGTTATCTCCCGGATGCCGCGCCATTGATAGCTCTTGCTTTTACAGCGGGTAATCCTTTCACCAGATCAAAAATAGTTTACTCTTATTTTTCAACTCTCTTTCGGATATATAAAAACAACTCTAAACAATTCTATATTGTTACATCAAAGTAGAAAATAAAAAGCTCGCTTCTTACCATTTTCTAAAATTAAGTTGTTTTTTGTGATAAATAGATTTTATCATGGAAGATATATAGGAGCACTCGCCAAAATGGATAAGCATTTAAATGTAAATAAAAGCGCAATATAAACTATATTTTAATGCTACAATTATATATATAAATTCTATATATATAAGATAAAATGATTTAAAAGCGCGA